ATTGGTATAAAATAATTTATATTTTTAATATGACAAAATTTTAACGGGGTCAAAGTAGAACATTATTTTTATTTTATTTTTGAAGTTTGGTATAGAATACATTGTAAATTATCTAACTTGTTTATTGAATTTTAAGGTTTGCTGTTCGTTTGTATTTTTTATTGCGATATTTGAGAGCGGTGGGAAAAAATGTAACACTAGTGGTTAGTGGACTGTGAAGCTGCTGGCAGTAGTTAGTAAATATTATAGTCAATTTCATATTATATTCTATTACTAGCACTGCCCGCGGCTCCGCCCGCGTTCAGATGACCAAAAACCAAATTCTTAGGTTTTACATATTAGTATACTCTTACATTGCAGTTTTTGTATTTCTTCTCAGAAATGAGATATTTTCCCGCGGTAAAAGTACCCTATATATTGATCCGGATAACCAGCTATCACCATACCAAATTTTATCAAAATCCCTCCAGTGGTTTTTCCGTGATGCGGTAACAGACAGACAGACAAAAATACAAAAAACTATAGATTCGGCCTCTGTATCGATAATAATGTCTATTTCAATAAGATTTTCCAAAAAATATTTAATGTACAGATTCGGCTCAGTTACAATTTTATTATATGTATAGAAGATGATTGTCAATTCAACATAGCAAAATATGCGTGGTGGGAAATATTTTTTTTGACGTAAAACCTCTTTAAAATCATACCGAAACATACGGGTACTGGGGTCAGAAAAGTGGACCGTAACGAAATAGGTTGCATTGGGTTGCCATAGTAACCGTTGTTATTGTCTGAAAAATGATATCTAAGATATTCTTTCCGAGGCTCTTCTTCAAAGTTATCTATTTATCTAGATGGTGAGGATTTTCAAAGATCATTATTGTGAGATTGCATTTTTGATATAATATGAACGTTTTAATGAAAAATAATATATTTAGTTAATTTGTAATGATTTATGTATAAGGCATTTAGTCATGTGACCTTGGCCGATTGTAGGTACTGTATTTAAAAAAAAAGGACGCGGATATTCATTTGTTTTCCCGCGCTTTTACACGGAGATGTCGGTACCACCTTGTAGTGAACAGTGATATGGTTTATTGGTAATACTATAAATTATTATTATATATTAGCTATCACAATATTTAAAGGAGTAAGTAACTGTTAAGTTTCTTGCTGGCTCTTCTCAGCAGAACTGCTTTTCGAGCCGGTGGTAGCTTTCACACGGACAGACGTAGGTACTTACGATTATAAAAGAAATAAGTTAATGTTCCAAGAGTACTGAATATAAGATAAATGCAAGAAATATCTCGAAGTTTTAGTAGTGACATGCACTATTTTTGCTTATTTGCTTTCAAATATGCTAAACCAGCGGCGGTGTGCTCTGACACAGCCCCGCCCGATTATTTTTTAATTAGAATCTATGTACTATTTACCTTCTGCTAATAAATTTTGTTTTATCAACCTAAAATCTAAATACAGAAACATTATGACAGACACACACGTAGATATTTTAAGCATTAACCAATTGCTCGTGTGTACATTTTTTTGTTGTTTTTGAGTATCGAGTAAAAAAATAATAAAGTTATCTATACTTATTCGCTTTCTTTTTTGGATTGTAAACCAGCACTTATAACGTTGAGTGTAGGTTACTGGGACAGTGAATAAATACAGGTTGGTAAAAATTTTGATCTTATTTTTGAAATTCCAATTGACGTCATTTGGCCTAACTTGTTTTTCCGGTCTGAGGGTGTGCCCATATTTTTAAAACACATACATATTTTGAAAGAGTTTATAAAAAAGCATATTATTTTGACTTAAAATGTAGCTAAAGTTATTTAAGTTTGTTTGTTTCCTACAATGGAGATACGATAAAAGAAAATAATCATGTGAATATACCTATAGGTAACTGTCTTTTTCGTTATTTTATAAAAAAAACATATGATTTAACCAAATGACCAATTAAAAACACGACTCCTTTATAATTATTTTATAATAATATTGAAATAAAAAAAACATTTTTCATAAATTTTGACACATTTACTGAAAAACAAAACACGAATAAGTAGCTATTATTAATATGTTTACATTCCTTCATTAATACCTACGTTGCAAAATCATAGAATCCTAAAGATTTGTTAACAAACAGCTCGACAAATATAAGTTTCTAAATTTTTGATTGCCTTCCCGTTCTCCTGGCTAACTTTTGGTTGTGTATGATAATAATATCCTCGGTTTAAGTCCCAGATACAGCTTAAAAAAGCTTAAAAAGCTAGGTTTTTAGTTAAAAAATTGTGTGTGTGTGTACTTATGTACGCACGTAAGAAGTTATACTTCTCTGGCCTATCAGAACAAAAATAGCTAAAGATTTCATTCCGTATGTCATAACTATTTCTTTGTAAAAGGAATGCAGCTAATTTCATCATGTCGCTTCCAGCTAACTTCATCGTGTCGCTTTTTGGCTGTCGGTGTGCGCGCGCATCGTAAAAATTTTATTCTCATATTTTTTTCCAAGCGTACCAAAAGAAGTATAACATCAAAAATTGTTTTCCTTAATTCATAGAGTAAGTAAAAAGTAAAAAGGCAGATCGAAAATCGAGCAAGGGCAGGGGTACCTGCCTGCGGTTTTTATTAAATGAGCTTACAACCATATCGACACCACAGTAAAGAACAATATTGAAACGAAGTATTACGATAATTTGAAAAAAAATAAAGAAATAATTGAGATTAATTTGAGTCTAAACCCAATCTAGATGTAAAGCATTAGAAACGTCGGAAACCAAAAATCTATATAGAAATCTGCGAAAAAATCCTAAAAGATACTTTTATTTAAAATGTCAAACATTCGCATAAATCTAAGAAAGTATTAATTAGTATTGCTCAGATAGTTTTGTTGGAGTACCAAGATTAAATTTTGTATAATTTCAGGGAGCTAAGAGTATAAAATAAGTTGGCTCTAGAATATTAAGTTACAATGCTTTTCCTTGTAATTTATATATACCTCGATGTCTTTCACACGCGCGTATGCGTTATATATGAAACTGCATCTATAGTCCCTTTGCTGAATTGTAGCTTTAGAGATACTGATTCATTGGTACTTTTGCGTATATTTTAAGTTAGAAAATTATTTATAAACTAAAGTAAATTAAATTTAAAGGCAACCGAAATGATTTACAATTACGAGTTTTTGCTTTAACAAAAACCTATAATGAACTAACACAACCACGACTGTTCTATGCTATACGTATATGAAATGCATCTGAATAGCGGTAAATTGTATTTAAATGTAAATATTCGTATGATTACATAAACTCAATGTAAACTTGTTAAGGCTAGTAATAAGACCAGTGTATGTAATATACTCTTATTATATACATTTGTATGATAAAATAAAACCTAAAGTATAAGTAAATAAGATATCTACATATTTCACAATTATAAACGAATGAATCCTTTTTTTTATATGCCAGTCAGTGATAGGTCAGTGGGAAAGCGCTCTCTCGGGAAACCGAGTAAAGCGGGTTGAAATCCCGGATCTCGCATCTCTGATTTTTTCAAATGCGCATCATTTCCAACATTATTAACATTTGTCTTCCGGTGAAGTAAAACATCGTAAGAAAACATGCATATCCGAAAGAACCTTGTAAGTTTCAAAAGACATGTGAAGTCCACCAACCCGCACTTGGCCACTATTGCTTACCGGTGAACATAGGTATTAAATCCCGGAAAAAGTGGTAATGTGTTGGAGTATGATCCGGGGAGTATACTGAGTGTCGGAGACATTCTAATCGTAGTTCCTCTAATTTAGCGACCGTTTGTTGTGCAGTGTGTGGTCTAGCGTTGTCCTGAAAAAGCAGTGGGTTAGAACAATTGACAAGTTTCGATTGTTTAACGGCTAGCTTTTCCATCATGTTGTGCAATTGTTGACAATATGGATCTGCCGTAATCGTCTGTCCAGATCTAAGGAAGCTATAGTAGATACTACCAGCACTGGCCCACGAGACCAGTACCTTTTTCGGAGTCAACTTTCGTTTGAGGCAGGATTTGGCTGGTTCTCTTGGACTCAACCATTGTTATGAGCTTTTCCGGTTATTATAAAGAATCCATTTTTATTCACAAGTAACGATACGATTCAAAATTCCCTATTTTTTGAGCTTTTTTACTTGTTTAATTTACTTCTAGTTAATTAAAATTGTTTTATCACTGACGCACAATCTTGCCGCTAACTCTGACGTGGTTTGCGATGGATCCGCTTCCAAGATCACTTTTAATTCTTCATTGTCAACTTCAGTTCTCCGGCCGTCGCATTAACGGGATTTGTTCTGTAGGTCAAAATTTCCAGAACGAAAACGGAACCGAAAACGTACCGTGTTTTCTTTTACAGTAGCTTCCCCATACCCATCATTAATCTTACTAGCTCTTTCTTCAGGGCTGGTGCCCAGGTGGAACTCGTATTCGTAAATAGCTTAATATTTTAAGTTATCTATATTGTGAACAGAATGATGTCGATGAATGAACGATGTACTTGTTTGAGATCAAACTGGCCAGTTCTACAAAACTAAAATTGCATTATATAAGGACCTAATAGAATGAATATGCCGCGATATAATATGATGCTTCTATATAACACACTTATATAGAAGACAAATTCTCATAGGGTAATATAAACTTTAAAATAACAAAAGACATAAAATAATTTTATTCATAACAACCATAAATAAATAATACCACAAAACTTGTTTTTATACTAGCAATGTGCGTGTTCGATCATGTAGACAAGATAAATGATTTTTACGAAAGCATATTCCAATTGACGATACTCTGAGATGATAGCAAAAGCCAATCTCTTTGGTCTTGGCATTGATGTCTCACTGAGACAGTAAATGAGTTCTAATGCAAGTATTTACTAGGTGATAAGATAATGAAGCATCAAATAGTGATTGGAGTTTCATAAAGACCCGGTTCGGACTTGCGACACAGTGTACCCATAGAACTGATACGCGATGGACCGCGCTAGTGTGCCGGAGTTAGAGAAAATATACGCAAATGAACATGAAAATGGGACTTCGAAGAATAGCGAAATAGAAAAACCCTGCAGTGATGATGTTCCATATTATTCACCATTTAAAAGACAGGTGTGTGTATATAATATTAATTTGTATATTTTTTAAGGTTGTTGAACTCTCACATCGACTGGGATGAATCTTTGTTTCTTTTAAAGTAACGATTTTTTTTTCATAAATATTTAATTAATCGTAAAATAAATTATTATAGTTAATCATAAAATAAAGTAACAGTGTAAATGTAAATATGAAATGAATTTCTATCGGCGAATTTGGTTACATATCTTTTTATATTACTATTTTCGCAACATTTTTATATTGATTATATATATGTATATTTTAGAACAAAATTCATATATCTATGTAAAATTATTTTTTTACACAAATAACTAATCATCAGTAATTAATTTGATGTGATTATTATATTTGCAAGGCGTATAAAATCCTGTTTCCAATGTAAACGAATAGGTACATATAAAGTTGTCCATACTAAAATGCCGTTGTGATTTCTTTGTTCCTTTATGACAAAGACTTGAAAGTATAGTTCTAAGAAATAAATAATTAGGAAATTTAAAAGAAAAGAGCTTTATGAGCTTACTTTCAAATATTTCAATAAGTTCTGTTTGGCACGACGGATTCGATTTTGGAAAAGCTTATAGTTTACTTTTTAAGCAATTAAAGTCACGTCTCATTAGAACACAGATAAATTTGAAAATTACAATATTTTACGTAGTATTGACAGGAAGTATTTGTTTTCTTCAGATATATAATGATATTTTTGATGATATATTAAGAATTCAAAATACTTTCTTTAAAACAATAAAAATTTTTGAACATCCTTCTTTCAGAGTAAAAAGTAGCCCAATAGAACACAAAAAAAAAACTTTAAAGTGTGTTCTAAAGGCTGTATGTTAAGCGATCTCTTTAGATTATAACGAATAAAGTAAAAGTCAAGGGTGGTCTTATTTAAATTATCGGTGTTTTTTTTAATTTTAATCGGTTGTTAGGTAAAGTAGGTTAGTAATTATCCACTTGAATATTCCATCAAAACCATGAATTACTTTCACTCTTACTTTCTTCAATTACAACGTTTAAATGGTCTGTCTGAATTTCTATATTCTATAATCTAGATAAATTTTTAATACACACTATGTCCTATGAGATTGAAATTAATACATAGGCTTAAAAAGTAGTCTATTATATTCTCTGACCCTTAGAATATCTCTATCTAAAAACGACGATCCCTTGCTTTATTGCTACGTGAAAGAAAAATAAACATTTATTACATTTCCGCATTGAAATGTAAGCTTAAGGGCTAAGTGTAAATATTAAGTCTTTCTATTCAGAAAGACTCAGTAAGATCCTGAAGCTGAACTGGCACTCATAGAAGCCACGAAATAAAAGAATTGAATTGAATTAGAGAGTTAGGAAGTTGGCAGTGTTTCGTCCCCGTGCTTCAGAGAAGACATAAAGTTGTCGGCACCTTCTCTTATACTAGTCGTGTCATATAATCGGTCGATTGAAATATGAGAGTGACAGAAATAGAGAGTGCACTTGTTTCATTACATACACTTGTGCACTATAATGTCTCTTACTCAATTAGCTAGTTTTAGTGAGATTGGCTGCCGTTGCCGAAATCGGTCATTAGCTCAGTCTACTAATCCATACTGTTGTTAACGTCTATCATATTTATTTTTATATGACAGCTTGCAAAGGGCTTTAGAATTGTCGAGTATAATCACGGAATATTTATTATAAGAATAAAATTCTGTGAGTATAACTGTAACCTGCCACGAGATGGAATGTAAAGTGTATTTTTTGACAACCTTTGCATCTAACAGAATTTCATTATTTCATCATTGGGAAGAAGAATTACTTCATTTAAATGTTAATAGATGGCGTAACATATGGAATATCTGGATTTATAATGATTAATAAAAGTAAAAAAATCTGAAAATTTGTCTAATTTTTCAAAAATACACCAAGCGAAAAAAATGAAATAATGGATGGTGAAATCAAATTTTCATGATTTTAAAATTTTTCAGATACATAATTGAAAATTAGACATTAAGTAGTTTGTACTACATATTTGATGCCTTTATTAGCATTTTATAAGTGGCTGTTGCTATTCGCACTTAAAATAAGGACGAATAATAAAAACTTTTTTACAATAAAATAAAAACCGACTTCAAACAAAAGCACTAAAAAGTAAAAAATAACTGATTGGTAGTTTTCATTTACTATACATAAATTTTCGAAGTCGGTGTGCTTTTGAAGTTCAAGAGTTTCTGTATGCAAAAAAAAATCTTTACCTACCGAGCTGAGCCGAGCTACTTATTCTACTTACTTATTTTATATTTATTAATTATTAGTCTATTCGTCTTTCCTTATAATTTATGTATTTTATAACAAATAGATACTCCGTTTATAAGGGGTGAAGATATTAGTAAAGGTTTATTGTCTCAAGAAAAAAATATATCTTATATATTTAAACGAGCTATTCTTGTATATATATATATATATCAATATATAATCTGAATCTCGGAAACGGCTCCAACGATTTTCATGAAATTTAGCACACAGGCGGTTTCGGGGACGATAAATCGATCTAGATTAGTCTTATATCTGGAAAAACGCGAATTTTCGTATTTTCATGCGATTTTCTATTGCATTTTCACAATTTTTGCATTGTCACTTCTGGTGAGTGGGCGGCGCCACTGTGCAACTGTCAACATCGTGTCCGTATTTACATCAAGTTTAAATATATTTAAGTGAAAATAATCTAAAGAAAAATTAAATCTAATCTAAGTAAATTTTTAAATAAAACCTATGGGCAATATGTAAACATCACCAAGTCTTGATGTGTTGAAGAACAAATCAGCTTTTAAAAATTCACCTACCAAACAAATACAAAAGTGACAAACATAACTTAAAGATACTATCAGTGCAAAACCATCTTTTCTGTGTGTGATGACAATAAAACGAAATAATTTGGGAAGTGAAAGCGTCAAATATTAAAACATAAGTTTATAACCTTAAAAACTAATAGGTACTCGGTATAAAATTGCAATTCAACTAGGTATAATTGGTGCTCTTTTTCAATCAGCTGTTCTACTTCCAACTTCACACTTAAGATGGAGGACATAAAAAAGTTGCTAATAAACATGCAACAAGAAATAAGACAGCAGAAAACAGAAATATTAGAAATGTTAGAAATGAAAGAAGACATTAAAAATACAATCAACAATAATATACTTAAATGAGAAATTTAAACAGTTAGAAATAAAAATTGAAGTTCTTGAGAAAAAAATCCAGGAACAAAGTACCTCAATAAATAATTTAGAAAGACATATTAGGCGCAAGAACTTGGTTATGTTCAGAGTAAAAGAAGGTGAAAAATCCTATCATGAACTAGAGGAAAAAATAGTCTTAAACTAAACGGAAATAAAAAAGAAGTCTGCCTGTATCTCCAGAAACGCCTTATCTCAATTATAAACAAAAACTAACAAATAAACAACATACAAAAAAAACCATACCTGGTAATATTAAAGACTTTATATTACATAAACCAAAATTAACGTTCAACCACACAAATGATAACCAGGAACAACTAAAAACAACACAGCAAGATATAGTATATTAAACACTGTAGGAACCTCCTCATCTTTATCCACCAGTACGGCTGGTCACTGGGGGAGTTCGACCGTAACCCTCTAAAGAAAAACAGACATACAATGAACAAAGGTATACATATCTTTACCAGAAAAACTTCTAGAATTAAAAGCAGCATTTCCTACAACAAATCAAAAGAACACAAAGATAAAATTATAAACTTTATAGGCACAAATTATATATTGAAAACATAATTTGAGAGAGAAAAACCCTTTGAACCCTTTGAAAAACCCATCTCCAACGGAGAGCTCTATGCAGGACTACTTTGGAGGAGGCTTTTAACCGATAGGGGTCTATACATGAAAAAGACATTTACTAAATAAATACATTTAATTATGAAATTAAATACCTAATTTATAACTATTGTCAGAATTAATGTATGGAAAGAAATTTTATTTATATTTATTATTGTGAAATGTTTAGTATTTACTCAATTGAATTATTTAATTTATTGTGATTGTTTATTTAAGTATTTATTTGTTAATGATAATTTATATATATTCAATATCATTTCAAATAATATGAAGATTTTTAAAATAATTTAATTCCAGGTTACAAAATTATTAGTTAAAAAGTTATAAGTTAATAAATAGTCACTAAATTATATAATTTTATATTTCAGCAATGTGATATAAACATTTTTTTTATTGTACAACTAAAATGGCTCCTTATATACTCTTAACCAAATAAAATTTTAATGGAATACTTTTATAAAAAGCTGTGCATACTTTTAAATTAAATTTATATACAGATAGGTAAAATTATAATGTTAAATAAATGTTTTTATGTAAATTTAGTTAGTAAGCCTTTACAAGAAATAAATGAATAAATAAATAGAGCTTTATTATTATGATTTCTTTTGCATTATTTCAATAAATTAATAATTCCACGCAAAATATTATGTTCGATAATTTCGCACGCTCAGATATAAGCATCATGGTCAAGTGGCCAATGCGCAAGTTTGACAACCACAGGTATCTGGGTTCGTATCCCGGTCGGACACAAAGTTTTTAATTTTGTTTTTTTTTGTATTTATTCAAATTCTTAGTTTGTTTTTTTTAATGTTTTTTTTTTTGGCCAAAAACTCCGAGCAAAGCTCGGTGGCCCAGGTACTATACATAAATACTAGTTAATTCATTACTTTAGATAATTACTTTTAGTAAAAAAAATTACTTTTACCCCAAACTTTTGCTACATTTTTTGATGAAAACAAAACCATTACAGACTTGGGATCACATGCATTTGATAACAATTCCCAAGTTAATATATTATAATAATTAAATGACCTCATAATTATTAGATAGCGGAATTGTACCAAAAAGGTATGTCTCACGCGTCGTTGATATAACAATAATGTGAAATAAAATCTTATCAATAGTTCCATTTAAAATGCACTACGCGCAGTAAGTGCGTATAACATTCGAACTAATTTAAAAATTAAATATACTTATTAGATAAATAGACGATAACAAATAATGGCTTAATAATGATCTAGTTTATGTTAAAAGACATATGACTTTTATTTCATGTATGTGCACTTATTGAAAGGAAAATACAATTTAGCATCGGAGATAAGGGGATAGGATAAGTATTAGAGGACAATGATCTGATAAAGAGATTTATCAGTAAAATGTGATGTCTGAGAGAACCTAGCAAGTTTTCGAAAACATGTGAAGTCCGCCAACCCGCACTTGGCCAGCGTGGTGGACTATGGCCTGATCCCCCTCGTATTGAAGGGAGGCCCGTGCCCAGCAGTGGGACGTTAAAAAGGGCTGAATACATTACTGAAGAGAAGTCATACAAAATGACGAATTAAACAGACTAATTTAAAGAGGTATTAGATTTTCATTAGAAAAACACCACGAAAATTATATATAATCTTTAATATGAAAGGTTTATATAAAATACATAAACTTTCCATATATTTGAATAATAATGTTTTTTTTTACGAATTATGGCAAATAAACCAGTTCGTCGGCGTGATTCATTAGTTGTTACTGAACTTTGATTTCTGATTGTTTGTAGGTACTTAAGTGTCATTTACCTAAAACAGTTATATAATGAACTGATAAACATATAGTTTTACCAATTAAATGTGTATAATTATTTTTTATCGAAATATTTTACAGTATCTACACTGATTTTAAAAACTATCAAATACTGTAGGTAGGTATATTGTATAAGGCATTCCTTTGCAGCTTAGACTATTTTTGATGTTATCAAAGCTGAATCCACTGTACTGACCACCAGTGGCGGCCTTAGGGGGTGGCGAGCAGGGCAACCGCCCGGGGCCTCGCACTTTCAGGGGCCTCGCGCCTTCGCACAACAACCCAAGTGTATTAGAATCTCGTCCCTTACGCCATACATTACAAAACCCACAACGTGCAAGTACAAGCACATATCACGTATTTTTCAATAAATCTTTATTAATATTAAATCTTGCACTATTAAGTATAAGTAATAATAGTAAAGAGTGAATTAGTAAAAAAAAACAGCGTTAAACTGCTTGTAATTTTTTTATTAATTTTATGTGCAAAAATGATTTTCAAACTGAGTTTGGCCGATTGTGTTGCCAGTAGAAAAAATTAGTTCAATAGTTCAAAAAGGCAACAAGCTATCAAAAGAAAGCATTTAGACAATATCTTTATGTGTATTTGTATACATATATAAAAGACAATGGTCAAGAAGCTTCTAAGTCCTTGAGACTCTTTAGTGACTGAAAGTTACATGTTATTGCATTCTAATCCTAACCCAGCTGAAATATTTTTTTTCAACAACAACAGTGAGTAAGCAACATCATTGTTACTCCACCGCCATCGCCGTCGTGAACACTATCCAGCTAAAAATACGTACCTAAATCTATGTCTACATCCAGTGGCGGAATTGAAAATCTGAATCCTTGAAATGACCCAGATTTATGGCCATCAATAATTACTGATGCAGACCGAACTAAGATTTCATTGAAAGGTCTAATCTGTTCTAAGACAGAATTTCTACAAACGATAGTGGACGGTGACTCATTGATGATGATGATGATGATGATGATGATGATGTTCTCCAAGCCGATTCCAGCCACGGCGGCCAATCTCATTGAGTCTAGCCAACTGCTCAGGAGATATTATAGTGCTCAAGTGTACGCGCAGGCACAGGTGCACTCTCTATTCCTGTCACTCTCATACTCCGGTGGGACGACTGCTCGACACGACCGGTGAGAGTGTCGGCGCAGGACCGACGGCTTTACGTGCTCTCCGAGGCACGGGGGTGAAACCGCCAACTTCTCCACTCCGGGCTGTTACTGACACTTACTATACAGAAAGACTCATTCATTGAATAGGTATCATTACAATAAAATATTAGCTAATGGCGAAAAACTAGACAGGCACTGGATGATTTATTCACAAACAAAATATGCCATTTACTGCATTCTCTGTCAATTGTTCAGAATAGAATACAAAAAATTGGGTCCAGTGCAGAAGTTTTCAATTGGAAAAACTTGGATAAATATTTAAAGTTTCATTAATCTAGTCGACTGCAAAAAGATCGTATGTTAAAATGGTTAAATTTAGAGAACGGGTGTGAACGTATGGTTAAATTTAGAGACTGGCTTATAAAAGCTGTACATCTATTGACTTTTTAGCCCAGAGTCTTTGGCCCTCCAGAGTGGAGCGCAAGAGCCAAGTGCTTAAAAGAGTAGAAGTGCTCAATATGCAAAATAACGAGGAAACCCGCTCACGAGCATTTGCGATGGTGAAACCAGTGCACATTTCTCGACACCTTTAGCCGACCACGCTGATACTGTGCCCGAGTCATTATACCGCGAGTGGGAGGCGAGTAACCGTACGCCAAATATTGAATCTGAGACTGTTGAGAAGGCGAATGCCCGATAGTCTTATCCAATAGCCCAGTTTTGTAGCCCATCCAAACTCCATTCCATAGACCCTATTTGTGTTTTAAATTTTCCATAGTCCCTACGCATTATCTGGACCATATTTGAGCAATTCCTTTTATGGGTTACTCAGAGATGGATCCCGGCTGATGCTTCATGTTAAACGCTTAAATCTCAAGGGTCTCTACGTGTTGAACCTGAGGAACACAAGTCTTCCAAACGGCCGGGCTCCTCCAAGCCCGTGAATTCTAAAGGGATACAAATAATGTCCACATCTCGGAAAAATATTCAAAATGAGTTTATAAAATTAATGGCAAGTCACGAGAATTAATGGCAAGCAAGACTAAAATGTTAACAAAATAATAAATTTTTCTTCTTTGTGCTTGTTAAGTTTTCTGAATTTCCAATATACAATTTTAAAACTCTAAATTTATTTATTTATAACTTTTGCATTTCTCGTCAAGCATCATCATTAAAAATATTTTCAATTCACATAAATTTTGTAAAGGATAAGGGCCTCGCAAAGATCTACTGCCCGGGGCCTCGTAATGGCTAAGGCCGCCCCTGCTGACCACTGTACTGTAAGATCAAGAATTAATGGTGTTAAAACACCAAGTTTATAGTGAAATTTTTAATTATTGTAATTATAATTTTCACACATCAATTGGATCACATATCTTATAAACTCTCTAAGATTGAACTCGTAGATTGACTACAGCTGGAATAAGCGCAAGCGCAGTTATTAACATACCTATACAAAGAATCGGGATCGGGAAGGGGTGTTTTACAGACTATACTCGTATATATACAAATACACGAGTGCATATATATATATATATATATATATATATATATATATATAAAATATGACATATGTATAAAATATGACAGTAAGCAGATTATAAGTTAAGATAATATTATTTAGTTAATTTTTACATTATTATTTTTTCTTTAGTTACAGTATACATTTATGGCCCAAGAGAATGCCGAAAAACGAATGCTACTCATATAATCTTACGGAACGAGTTACTTTTAGGTTATTATATTCTGTATGCATACGAACTTTATCTCTTAATTAATTATTTACGTGAGAGTAAATAATGCATTGATATGACAGTTGTGCGTAATTTTTGCATGTATATATGACTAGATAATGTAAATTAATATATATAATATAATAACAATAAATCTATACATATAATAAAATCGTAACTAAGCCGAATCTGTACATTAAATATTTTTTGGAAAATCTTATTGACAATATAAACATTATATATTATCGATACAGAGGCCGAATCTATAGTTTTTAGAATTTTTGTCTGTATGTCTGTATGTCTGTGTGTCTGTCTGTCTGTCTGTTATCGCATCACAGAAAAACCACTGGGGAGGGAGGGATTTTGATAAAATCTTATTTCTGAGAAAAAATACAAAAACTGCAATATCTCTAACATTACAGTTTTTGTATTATTCTAATATGTAAAACCTAAGAATTTGGTTTTTGGCCATCTGAATGTGGGCGGAGCTGCGGACAATGCTAGTAATTTAAATATAAATCAAATTATGCGTAATGTCAAAAGTTAAAATAATAAATCACCAAGAGCTAGATACATTCAAAAGAGATGTGTCATTGTAGACGCAAATAATGTTTTTCATACTCGCATACTCATATTAATTATTTATGAATGAGTAATATTGTCAACATTATTCATGTATCGAGATAAAGAAGTTTTACTGAGAAAATATTGTCAGTTAATTGTAATGATAAGTTTAGAGTAGTGAATATATTATACGACCGTATATGATTAACACTAGGAACGTTAGCACCTCCAGGTAAATTTCTAAGAAATTAATTAAATTTCTAAGAAATCTATTGTTAATTGTAACGCCGGGGTGTCTGTGGTCGTGGAGGGATTAAAGTAGATACAAGATTTTTTGATAAGAAATTGTCTCTATCATCCCTGTCTTGAAAAGTTAGAGGTTTTACTTCTATTGGACTATAAGAATCAGAGTACTGACAATGCAATTTTAAGTACACGCACTCTTCTGCATTGTAACATCCCTAGTATCTGTGTAGTAAATGACCAATTTCATTGAGATATGTCGCTAACAGATATGACAGATATTTATTCTGTAGAGTTATTAATATTTGCCGATGTATTAAGTATGATTTCGTAATATTTCTAGGCCTTCATAGCTTTGGGGTCGTTTATGCTGTCTTTCAGCGCCGGAGCGACTGCGGGCTTCTCAGCTATACTGATACCTCAGCTCCAACATTCTAAGGGCAAGCACAAATACTCGACTGAAATGGTGTCCTGGGTAGGTATGTAATATTCAATACATAATACATCCCAATAAATATAAGTTAAGTAAAGAAAATTATATAAGTAAGTTACTTGATGATCTTTAAATCTCCCAAAGCAAATTCATCGGCACTGACGGTCAACTGTATTTATATGTATGTCATAAATAATAAACAAGTTTTTAAATGTTTTTCATCCAAGTTTTTTTCAAGTCACTATTAAAATTTTTGTTACTTGCATATAAATGGTAGTTATCGGGATTAAATAAAAAAATATATATTTATAAACATATTGTTGATGATATTTACACAATTTCTAAATACCGAAAAGATCTATTCAGGAAAAATATCCGTAAATTGTTATGATTAAAAGTTACACATTAAAAATCAAGTCGGCTCTATTTTGTTTTGAGTAGTTTTTAATAATTATTTGTCTTTTATATTCTCTCCAAGCGGTAATTGAATCGGTGATATCTCAGATGCTTATTTCACTGCATGATGCGTCATATGTGTATTGTAGTTTAAAATTTTATGATATTATAATAGTAATATTATTATAATGAAATATTTAAGTGGTTAGAATTTGTAGTTCTCATATTTTTTTGTTTTGTACTATATCGATATTATTATAGAAATTATTATCGTAGAGATCGACTTTATCTAATGGGGAATCAGACTTTGTTACTGAAGAAAAATAATATTCTTAGATTAATTCTTATGTCTATATATTACAATTATAATATATATATATATATAATAATTACAACAATAATGTTTTTAACTTTAAATTATATGAGCGAGTGTGGCGAAGGTGGCTTCGTGGGGTACCATCGTTATTTAATTTTGGCAAATGCATTTACGCATACCATCTGTAGACATACATGTGGTTATGTTGGACTCACCGGCTAGAAAAGCCAGTACTATCCACCAAATTCCAATAAAACACGACTTACACACCAGGAATGCCGTATCACCACACAGTAACATATTTACCAATAAAATATAGTATTATATTGAAAAGTGCTTGAAACGCTCATAAGGACTAGATATTAACTATTGGCAAGTTTTATTTTAGGTTTTTATTATTACCAATATAACGACAACGCCTAAATATACATATACCTTGAAAAGCACATTTATTTAAAACTTCTTACTTGTAACCGAATATCGGACATTTTGTGAAAATTTTAATACATTGAAACTTATAGTATAATTCCTTTAAGCGCTTTAACAGTTGAATGCTCTGGTTATGAAACCCTAAAAATATAGTTATTTATTAATAATAATCACATTAACCTTTGTCATTTATTTGTTTACAGCGGCAATGGCATCATTTGCATTATTATTTGGCAACATGATATCTGGATATCTCATGGAAAAAATGGGCAGAAGGTCATCTCAAATTTTACTATCAGTGTTTTATATCGGCGGATGGACTATTATTGGCTTTGCTGGAAACATACATCTTATATTACTGGGAAGATTTATCACAGGATTTTGCCAAGGGTGGCTCGGTCCATTAGGACCAGTTTTTGTTGGAGAAATAAGCTCACCAGCTTACAGAGGATTGTTTTTGGCAGGTTTATCTTTATGTATAGCCTCGGGTGTATTTATGTCACATTTGTTTGGAACATTTTTACATTGGAGTCACGCATCTCTTCTTTGCGGAGTGTTTCCGTTACTTGGATGTATTATACTTTACTTCGCACCAGAATCACCTGCTTGGCTCGCATCAAAGAACGAAGTAGATAGATGTATACAATCCTTTCAATGGTACAGAGGTACTAGCGCAGCTATGAAAACTGAACTTGACAAAATGATAGCAGATCAAACTAAAAAGAAGGAAGTGAAGAGCAAATTCGTGACCTTGACTGAAAATATAAAGAAGCCTGAATTCTGGAAACCACTATGTATAATGATAGTGTTTTTCTTAATTACTCAATTATCCGGAATTAATGTTATTTGTGCATATACAACGGACATTATGGAAGTTCTTATAGGTAATAATTCGAACACATACGCTGCTATGTTAGCGACAGACGTGCTACGTGTTATAGCACTTGTGATAGCTTGTATTATGCTAAGAAAGAAAGGACGGCGACCTCTAGCTATATTTAGTGGTGTTTCTACTACTATTTCACTTATATCATTAGCTATATATTTACATTTGGTTGAAATACGTATGATTAGACACATATCTCCTTTTATATCATTAGGTTTGATGGCAATTTACGTAGTCGTTTCAAACATGGGAATTTCTTTGTTACCTTGGAATATGGTAGGTGAATTATTTGCAACGGAAACAAAAGGTTTGGGTTCCGGTATAAGTGTAATGATGACGTCAATCGCATTTTTTGGGACAATAAAAACTGCGCCTGCCATGTTTCAGGCAATCGGGCACGAAGGTACTTATTTATTTTATGGATTGTCAACTTTGTTAGGAACAATATTTTTATATTTTTGTCTTCCTGAAACAAAAGATAAAACATTGCTTCAAATTGCAGAAGAATTTCGATATGGGCCCAAAGGGAAACCTAAAGAAGCAAACAAGTTTTTAAGTGTGTGAATTGACAGGTGTACCCAATTCAATTAACGCGAGAAAATTTAAGATAATAAAATCTAGCGTACAATTATAAACATTATTTTAATATAACTTTTAAGAATATTTAAATAGAAATTGTATATAATAAAGTACTGCCTAGATGTCTTAAATGAATGAAAATTGTATCATTTCTGTACGTTTTTGTTATTATCATTGAATATTGTGAAAATCATCGTTATCAAAACAATTAATAGTGTTGTTAATAGAAAAGACTACTTAACCTAGTAAGATATAATATCATTAAAGACAATCCCAATTTCTGTAAATTTTAGTTATTATTACAAAATAAATGTATTAAATAAGATAGTAACAACATTAAATGTCAAGGGCATTGGAATAATTTGTTATTAGGTACATGTTATCTTCGACCATTTTTTTCAATGGACACGTCGCGATAAATGGACAATTTAATAAAATGTTACGTTATTATTAGTATAAATGGGTTATCATTTCTCTTTATGATAAAAAATGTTTTATAAAACACATGTTTATGGATGTAGAACAAAGGAATTCGCATCGCTTTAGTGCACCCTCCCTAATAAAAACATAGGCCTATTTCATAGTACGTTAGAGACGTACAAGTGGCACGCGTTCTCGGTATATTACAAACGTCTTCCTGTTGTGACACGTGGATATGGCCCTTAAAGTGTGCAGCATTTGATGATTCGCCAACATCTGCAAAGTACTTTACGGAAACCAGAAATTCCCACGTTGGAACGCGACATGTTTTTGTCGAAGGCAAAAAAATCAGGAAAACATCTGGTTTGTAGACGCGGCTATTTATAGAAAACCCCAATTTAGTTTTTATTAAAAGAAAAGTAGTCAAAGAAAGTTGTTATTTCTTATCTGTAATGCGATGCGAATTCAATTATAATAGTGATTACACAGCTTTATCTAAAATACACTAAATTATGAAGTAGTTGACGTTGTATTTTGTATTGTGTAATTGTTACATAATTTTTATATCAGTCATATTCCATAGTAATTAAATATTTGTTCTTTAGTATAGTTAAATTGGTAGGCAGTGGTAGCCCAGAGGTAACGCGCTCGCTTGGGAAACCGAGTGAAACGGGTTCAAATCCCTGGACTCGCACCTCTGGTATTATCATGTTCGAATCATTTCCAACATGATTACCACTTGTCTTACGGTGAAGGAAAACATCGTGAGGAAACCTGCATGCCTAAGAGAACCTATCAAGTTTTCGAAAGACACGTGGAGTCCGCCGACCTGCATTTGGCCAGCGTGGTGGACTATAGTCTGATCCCCCTCGTATTGAAGGGAGGCTCGAGCCCAGCAGTGAGACGTTGAAAAGAGTTGAACACATAGTTTTTATATCTTATGATCTCTATTTTACAAACTTGCCATGCTAATTGACTGTGATACTGCTTCTAAACCAATTTTAAATATGTTTGCATTTTATGTCGAAGCTATATAGTACGACTTTTAATTAATTATATTACATTTACATATAAAAATCGTTACGCTGTAAAGTAATAAAGGGTATTGGCTAATAACAACATGAATTAATGAATACTAAAATAGGCATCACTAAGATCGAGGGAGCGCGTCAAAATTGCCTTTTATTTCTATGTCAAGTAGTTCCTGTGCTTTCATTAGTCCGATCCATTGTGCATCGCTTGCATATCGTATCATCGTTGCACCGATAGAACTTACAGCGGAACGAATATTTAATAAATAATCGACAATAAGACACGTGGCAGAACGGAAACCGTACACGTGTTATCAATTAGAGTGGAATAATATAAAAACTGGTCAGAAAAATTCGAAGGCCCTCTAGTAGGCGGAGTTGTTAGTATAAAACACAGAAAGGGTATCATAGAAATATTTATTGACCTACGACTACGCGAATGGACGATGTTTGTGCGTGTTCTGTCGTCATAGCTGGTAATGTAGATGTTGTAAATATTATTTGTAACACTTATGGAGGTTCTTGCCACTAGATAAGTCTGTATCTATTACTTATTTTTTTAATTTGTAGTGTAATATAATAATTAACAACAAAATGCCTGTATATTAATAAACTTTTAACGATAATTATATCTAATTGATAAAAAAATGTTATCCAAGCATACAATAAACATTATATTTTGTATTCTGAATTGTTTTAATGGCAAGCTCTATGGATATAAAAACGTTATTAAGAAACTGAGTATAAAAAATATTATATAAGATAATACTGTTACCTACTAAAGTGTTATTTTAAGCATTTTAAATGAAAAAAGAAAGTATTTGGAATTAAAATACTTAAAAATTTAATCTCAATGATTTCTTTGAGACCGTTGTTAACGTACGATTAACAGATTACTACCTTATTATAAATCCATCGATAAACTTTTACTGAATGTGCCAGTATTAACATACAGTGCAAATTTACAAATCTAAGCTGCTTTCCATATTTATTTTTCCACAGCTAAAACATAGTTTTATAATATAAAAAAATGTAAGATAGAAATGGAGTTTTATGTTTTAATTAAATAACTGTTCATCTTTATGTTATTTTATTTTCACTCTAAAGTTTATTACAATGTGTATGTGGGTTTAAATAGCTCACTTATACGTAAATGTAATCATCACAAGTGCTATCAATTTTTGTCTTATTCTTCTTATACTTGCTGTACTAAGTACCGCTAATCCGACTGTAATGGCACTTTCTCGATTTAAGATTAATATTTTTGTCATCGTAACACGTATTTAAAAATTTTGTATCGGCAGTCGGTGATACATACACAAATAGTAGGTTTATACAAAAAAATATCCAGACCCCAAAAAATACTTATATTTGCCCCGAATGGGACTTAAATATGCTTCCTTCTGGCGTAATTAGACAGAAATTGCGACCACATAATATGCGTGTAGTTACATAAAAAAAAAACTATACGATAAAAGTTGTAGCAATATAAAATATTATTTTTCCAATATCTTATCACTTATGTTTAATTTCTGTAGCTAGATAAGTCATTTCTTTATCGTGAATTTTTATTTTTATAATACACTAGCAGAATCCACTGCATCGCCCGCGTTCAATCCACAAAAAAAAATCGGTGGTTTTATGTTATATAGCGACTCACCCTTGCTTCGCCCGTGTTCGTTCCTATGTATTTATATAATGTATATAGTTTTACAATAATCTATGAAAGCCTACCCGTTTTGTTGATATTTATGATTACTGTTCCGCTTTTTTAGATAGTAGCATGATGTAGAGCCTATAACCTTCCTCAATAAACGGTCTATATAATGCAAAAATAATTTTTCAGATATTTGAGATTAGTGCGTTCAAACAGACTCTGCCTCTTTATAATGTTATTATAGATTTCAATAAAAGAGTGAAAATATATTAATATTATAATACTTAATGAAATTATAATGCACTAGCGATATATACCCTGGCTTTGCTCGAGGGTGTCCCTAATAGGAGCCTATGTGTTACTTGCAGGTTATAATAATTATCTGTATACTAAACATCCAAATCCGTCTAGCCGTTTCAGCGTAAAGAAGTTACAAACATACATACACATATACAAACTTCGCATGTATGGCACTAGTCCGATTAATTAAATGTAAATGTGCCTACTAAATAATTCATGTGCATATTGTAGAATTAAAATGCCTACGACATGTGCCTGAGTTGAGGAGACATGGTTGACTTGCTCATCTACGTACACGTGCAATATGGTTCCGTGATTCCGGTTACGAGATCAAATTGGGGTAGTTTTAATATTTTTAAATATTTTTACTTCCATACTTTGAATTATTAAGTGTAGGTGCATTTGTTATGTTTATATAAGAAACAAATGGATGGGACATGGGAGAAAAGTACCTTAAATATGAAGTTATCAATTTTTATTGAAAGAAAACATTCCTTTATTTAAGAAAATAATAATAACAATATTTTTTTTAAACTTCATGTTGGTAAAAGGTAACTAGTAGAGTGCATTTTACTGGTAAGTTGCATCAGGAAATTGTTTTGGAGAAAATGAAATCTTATTACTATAATAATGTTTTTAAACATATACATACATATATATATATATATATATATATATATATATATATATATATATATATTATATAGGGGAGAGGGGGGCATAGTAGGGTACTTAACGTTTAAACATTCCTAAAAACTAAAATAATGTGATTAAATTAAATTTTTTAACTTAGAATCATAGCTTAATTCATTGTGAATGCCCATGGATACTTTTATGTTGATAACGTAATTAATCTACGAGATGTAAATACTTAAATGAAAAAAGGCATTTGACCCGCTATGCCCCGTGCATAGGGGTAAAGTGGGGTCTTCTATGGGGCATTGTGGGGTGGTCATAATAAGGAACGAAACACAACTTCCAAACGAAATAGTTTTATTTCTTAGCACAATAACGACAGTTTCAAAAAATTAAAAATAGCAACAACACTTTACCATAAGAAAATCACTATAAAAACTTCTCTTTATTATTATTTTTGTAAGTTAAAGAAATCAGAGATCACACAAAAAACTTTAACACGTTTCTTTAATCTTTTATAAAACTTACATATTAAAAAAAGGAAATACAGAACTTTGGTACAGTTAAGTCATTACTTAACTGTACCAAAGTCACATCTCCTTTAAAACAAAACAAAAAAGAAGTTTAAGAGTTTTAGTTAGAGTTTAAGAAAAAATCTTTCAACAGCTACTCTATTGAAACCCATAGCTCTAGCTGCTGATGTTGGTTGAGGTTTTCTGTAGCTAATATTTTTGGATGTCTTTTAAGAAATCCTTTTAACCAATCTATACCAGCCAAACCACTCTGAATCAAATTTATGAGAATTTCCATTTATTTGAGCCACTTCAAATGCAAGTTTGCGCAGGTCACGTGAAGTCAGTCCATGAAACCGTGCTTCCATCAGTTTTACAAAGTACAAGTTGGAGAAAACACGCTTTGGAAAATGGCCTAATTTCTTT